GCTCGTGGTAGTAACGCGGACATCGAGTGAATCCGACTGTCCGCGTAGATTTAGTCGAAAATTAAATTTTTTTCCAAAACCTTTAAAAAAGCCACTTCCTCGCCGATCTTGATGATTTTTCCACTCGACTTTTTTCCTTTGATCGTCTGCTAGCAACTCGAACACACTTTCTTAGGAACACACTTTTTTTCCAATTAAACAGTATAGTGTTGGAATCAATTATTTTATTTGAACGATTATAGCTGATATATTAACAAATTAAATAGCCTACGAATTCCATTGAAACGTAAATAACGACTAAAGAAAATTTCATCCGGATTGGATAGGAATAGCAGAAGTTACAGGGAAATCACAAACACACAGATTTTGAATTTCACAATTTAATAATGTGATGGATATCACGCGATAGTTGTAAATCATCAACGTGTGATAAAATCTTGCGTAATTTAAAGACGACAAAAATTGTATAAACAATTCGAGGATTAGTGTTGCGATTCGAGACCCTCGTAAACTTTAATATTTCTATAGTACGTGTTATTAAACTTTACTGTCTGTAGTCCGTCGGTAATAAAGTTAGACAACCGGGCGAGTAAACTTGCCAGTGATTCTAAGAGCCTTGTAGTTTGCATAATAGAATGGAGCGGTTGACAGAATCGAAATCGCTTTTCGGGAATCTGTGTATATCGCGTCTACCCGAAACACCGCTCTCGATAGAATCGAGCGACCAGATACGATCTCGCGTCACTCGGCTATAATTATATCACTGGAGAGTGACGAGGGCTTACGTGCAATTATGGTTTCAGATATATGTGGAGTAACGTTTCGTGTAACTGATAAATCTAGAATTTGGAACGAACGAATGATTGGCCGGTCCCTTTCTGGTATCGAAGTAATTATGCTCGGGCGAACGAGACGAGTCAGCGAAGAAAAACAAACCGTTCGCGCGATATCCACGCAGTCGATGCAGCTGCAGGCAATGGCGGCCAAAGGACACTTGCGAGTCACATTCAGGGACGTTTGTTTACGTTGGCTGACTCGTCTCGTTGGATCGAGTTACACGCACATTTTCCATTTACGGAGATTTAAGTATCCCAAACATAATAAAATGTAGATAATTAATAATAATAATTCGAAGGAAGGCTACGAATTTATGATTATTGTTGTAAGACCGATGCGACCGCGCATCTATCGTTGCGCATTATTGGGTTAAACAGTACTTCTCTGAACACATTCCTTAACAAAGACGTCATTATTGCATCGTTGTAAGCAGACACGGTCTTCTCGCGAGAGTTATTTTCGACTTCTCGCGCAACTTGAAAGAATATCGTAAACACATTGCGTGAAAGGCACTTAAAATTCTGGGGTTTATTCAGCGAGCAACTGCCGTCTCGAAAAATCCCCAAAGCGTAATTACGCGAACGCGGAATTCAATTGTCATTGAAAATGCAGAATTAATGTTAACAGCAATTAATCTTTAATTTTAATTGCAGCTGAAAATGCAGAGTTCAACCGTATTTGATTTCATCAGTGATTGCATTACATCGTATTACATTATTACGGTCGCCATTATTATTTTTGCTGATAGAAATTCTAGAATAAACCTCCTTTCGCCGTCGTCGCTTCTAATTTCCTTTTGTTCCCGTTACGTAACCTCGGATCGATCCAATTTTGAAAAGGATTTATGTATTTTTATCCACCGTGTTTGTATTTTCTGCGCGTGGCATTTATTCAACAGCACGAAACAGATTCGAATGCTTTACCGTCGAGCAGCCTGCGTTAATGCTCGGACACGCTCAACGAACAATTTTATTTTTCCCTCTTTACTAATTCTAAATTCCGTTTTCTTCGTTAGGTATTTTCGAATTTCACGATTAAAACTTTTTCGAAATTCACGAGCTCTATATTCAGATTTATTTTCTTTAATGTATAGGCTTTCGAATGAATTTTTTTGGCTCCTTGGTTCGACCCATATTGGAAGGGATAACAGTTCCCCTATGAATCGATCGATAAACGAGCAATCATTTGCAAAGCGTATCCTATTCCCCGGATAAGCTTGCAACAGAGCTCTAAGAGAATTCGAGGCATGCGACTACTGTAGAATGCTCGATAGTTGCAGGAAAACAGGGATGAAAATTCCTGCAAGTACCGAGTCTCGCGCAATTATCGAGGTAACCGGCCCAATGAGTATCTCGCGTAACACGTCCCAATTAGCATCGTATAAACTTCCACTAAAAAGAACATGAATTCGTTGGGGGAGTAACGATATCGAGTGGACTGAAACCAGACACGCGCGGAGTGTTTATGTTTCTTTCTCCGCGGGAACCCTAAAGGTCACTGCGGAGGGGCCAGCGAGCGTTGCTCGGGCCGAGACAGAGACACGCGGAGAGCAGGTGTTGCCAACGTTGCGTTCCTAAAATGTTCCCTACTCTTCTCATATTATTTCGAGATTTTCTGAAACTACTACGCACCCTAATTTTATTACAAAACAGATCTCCCTCTCGTTCCATTTTTAATTACTAATAACTTCGTTACTTTTGCGAGTCACTCGAGAGAGTGCCCTTGAACGTATGTCAAAGTCAAGGTCATCGTAGCTACATCCCCTAAACTGAATAATTATTGTTATTAATGTTGAGAAGTAGTCGATTTGATGCAAGTCGACGAAGATCAATAGTAAGAACTTATACACTTATATACTTGGTAATGGGTTTAGATACATCATTGATAAACAACGTAAAAAGAAATGCACAATTAATATTTTACGATTCACACCATACAGGGTGTTCGGACAACCATGGGAAAAATTTTAACGGGGGATTCTAGAGGCCAAAATAAGACGAAAATCAAGAAGACTAATTTGTTTATGGAGGCTCCGTTAAATAGTTATTAACAATTAAATTCAAAAATTTCAAATCGTTCTGGAAAAATTATTTTCGATTGCCGGGGTCAATTATAAACACTTTTGGTGAATACAGATACCATCGAAATCCTATCCACTTTCGAGAAAAAAAATCGGGTAGATGCAGAAATTTCGGCGAAAAAAAAATTTTTCAAATCGATCTAAAAAAATTATTTTTGGTTTCGGGGTTCAATTACAATCAGTTTTGGTGAATAGACATACCCGCGAAATCCTACTCATTTTCTAGAAAAAAATTCGAGAAGAGGTGAAATTTTTCGACGGAAAAAAAAATTTCAAATCGTTTTGGAAAAATTATTTTCTGTTACGGGGATCAATTACAATCATTTTTGGTGATTATACATACCCCCGAAATCCTGCGTATTTTCGAGAAAAAAATTCGAGAATGTGTGAAATTTTTCGACGGGAAAAAACATTTCAAATCGTTTTGGAAAAATTATTTTCTGTTGCGGAGGTCAAATACAATCATTTTTGGTGAATAGACATACCTCCGAAATCCTACCCACTTTCTAGAAAAAAATTCTGTACGGGTGAAACTTTAAATGTTAATAACTTTTTAACAAAGCCTCCATCAACAAATTGATATTCTTAATTTTCGTCTTATTTTGGCTCCTAGAATCTCCCATTAAAATTTTTCCCAGGGCTGGTCCAACACCCGGTATACAGGGTAATGACATGAAATAATTTGTTAAGTATTTGTTGCAGAAAGAATATTTGGAACAAGAATAGTACAGTTCTAAGGAAAACGTACAACTGATTTAATTTATTCAGTTGTGCAATTAAAGTTAGATATTTATGGGGGTACGTGAGTGGGGATATCACTTCACCGGGAGAATCTAATCTAATCTAACCTGTCCTTGAATTACATTCAGAATACGATTATTTAGTTTAAGCCAAGGACAGATTAGGTTGGATTATCCTACGAAGAGCAAAGCCGACAGTTAGGTATCGTAAACAAATTTCCCATTAAATAATAACCAAGTAAAACGACGTATACTAGGTTTATTGCAAAACGGATCTCCTTTCGTGTTTCATTTTTAGTAAATAATAAATTGCCCATGCACGCCCGTAACACTATAAAACGGAAAAGTGGGTCGAATGGTGCAGTTAAACTACGAAGAAATAGCGAAAATTCAAATATTAAAACGGGATCATTTGAAACGAGAAAACAGCAAGAAAAATAAACAGAAGCGAGTTTGTTGTTTGTCCGTGCCTAAAAAACAGGGGAGGTTATGGAAATTTGTATAAAGGCGTAACTAAAATTACTTCATCGTCCTCAGATAATTATACGAGATGCTTCTTCAGTATAACTTCGAATTTTGTCAGGACAAATTTTTTCCGTTAAAAATTAAGAATATGAAAATATCGTCGTTGCAAGGCCGCCATGAAAACGCTATTTTGCAAGACCGTCGTAAAAAGAGCTATTTTGCAAGCTCATCATAAAAAAGGAATTCAATTTAGATGGCCCTGACGGGCACTCATTCCGCCATTATGATTTCAGAAAGAAATCCAAAAGAAATTTTCTTCGTCGATAACTATTACCAGCGACCAAAATAGACTTCCTCTCGTATCAAACAATAATATTATATAACAAACGATTCTCTGTTCAACTATTTCGCGTTTTGGGTAACGATTTTTTGGTAACAATTACATTGGGTCTCGGAATATTTGAACAGTTACATTTCCCTGGATTAGATTCGAAACGTACATTATTTCTGGAGAAACGCCAATTTTTCATAGTGTATCAATTGCCGAAGTTCCCTCGTAAGTCTCGGATAGATAAAGGGGTATGAGAGATCTGCACGGAGAGAGAGACCGCGGACCGTTACCACTACCAGTGTCACCGTTACCACCACCTCCATCTCCGCCACCTCTACCTTCTCCGTTCCCCCCCGCCTCCCCCACCTCTGCCGGTATCACAACCACCACCACCGACAGCATGTCCGACGTTGACGCCGGTGGCGGCGGCGGCGGTGGCGGCGGCGGCGGTGGCGTTGGAGGCGGCGGCAGCGGCACCACCACAGACGTCACAAACGTCCTCGTTGCTTTCGCTCTCAGCGTCGACGTTGCCGTTGCCGGTACCGGTGCGCAGTCGGTGGTCGCGGTCGGTGTTAGGTGGTTAGAAGGAAACAGATTTGGCAGTGGAGCGAGCGACGCCTGCGGACGATAAACGCGGTTCGTCCACGTGCTCCGGCTTAGACGCCGGGGGGCGGAAAAACCGGTATATTCTAACGGCCGTGATCGTGGGATCTCGATCGTCATCGGGATATTTCGATCGTGACTGGATTTTAAAACCAGTCCCGGGCCGACGACGGTGACTTAAACGCGCAACTCTCCCGACGTGCGGAGAACGTTAGGCACTCGCCCCCGCGTCCCACGCGACTACGACGTCTCGTGTTTTTCCGCGTTTTCTCGCCGCGGGCCACGTACCGCGCGCGACCCCGTTTCGTGCCCGAACGCGCATCGGAAGCAACCGTTGGAGCACGAACCAGACGTATCCTCCTAGCACTCGGAGAATAAGTAATCTCGGCGGCCGTCGATGGATGAGACGTAAAGACCATCGAAACGAGGGTGGTACGCGATGGAAGACGGAGCCGACTGAACCGGAGAGATTCGTTACGAGTGGATCGGTTTTGATGCGGGAGGATCCCCCCGGTGCTGCGTTTCTCGATTCGTGATATAAATCGAGGAGAGAGATACACGCGAGTAAATCGACGCCTATGTTTCGTGTAGCTTGTTCGCGACTGATAAATCGGGCCGAACGGTGTCGCGCGCGCGCGCGTGTCCCTAATCGATCGGTCGAATCGATCCACAGATCGTACCGATCGTAGCCGGTTGGTTCGCCGGTAAGAAGAGTACGGTTGTGTCGGTCACGTACGCGTACGCGTATTCATCGCCAGAAACGCGTTCGTTAAGAATAAAGGGGAAGCTGGTAAACCCGGGCGGTGAGCTGCAAGGTGACCCCCACGTCAGAAGTCGCGAGACGATGAGCGACGGCATAGTCGGTGCAATCGCGATCAGTTTGTTCGGTACTGGCTCGCCACGAGACTCGTCGCGCGTTTCGACGGGCGATTTTCATTGACGGAAGCCTCGTTCCAGGCAGCGACAAGAAACGTCGGGACAGCATGGACGCCGGTTACACGATTCTTGGCAACGACGTCGACGTCTGCAGAATGTTCGACCAGTTCTCTTACAAGGTCAGTCTTTTCTAACGTGACATTCGTTTATTTCCTTCCCGTCGAGTAAACATCGAACGACAACCGGAAACCGACCGTTGACGATGGTACGCACGACCGAAAAAAATCTAGTGCAACGCAGATACACGGTCGAAGCTACAGTTCGATACGTGACAGCACTTGAAGGCACACTATCTTTAAGAGAGAAACGAATCACGCATAGCTAAAATTAATTCAATTCAAGGGAATAATTATTTGCAAAACACAATGTTTTCATAAATATATAAGTTATAATGTACCTGTAAGTTTTAAAATATGAACGGTAGATACACCAAATTAGGCATTTTAAAGATAAAAATGTTTATTCACCCTTTGTATATAAATTTTAATTCTAACATGTATTTAATACGTTCAGTCTTGAACGAATTTTCTATGTCCTTCCCATTCGCGCTTCAGGCGTTCTAGTATACCTTTAATAGTGGTTCAAATTATTATGAAAAAACTAGAAACTTATTATTTTATAGTATTCCAAATTTTACAAATATTATACATGGTGTTCGGTCACCCCTGGGAAAAACTTTAATGGGAGATTCTAGAGGCCAAAATAAAACGAAAATCAAGAATACCAATTTGTTGATGGAGGCTTCGTTAAAAAGTTATTAACAATTAAATTCAAAAATTTCAAATCGTTTCGGAAAAATTATTTTCGGTTGCGGGAGTCAATTACAATCATTTTTGGTTATTACACATACCCTCGAAATTCTACTCAGTTTCTAGAAAAAAATTCGGGAAGGGGTGAAATTTTTCGACGGAAAAAAAAACTTTCAAATCGTTTCGGAAAAATTATTTTCGGTTGCGGGAGTCAATTACAATCATTTTTGGTGAATAGACATACTCTCGAAATTCTACTCAGTTTCTAGAAAAAAATTCGGGAAGGGGTGAAATTTTTCGACGGAAAAAAAAATTTCAAATCGTTTTGGAAAAATTATTTTCGGTTGTGGGGATCAATTACAATCATTTTTGGTGAATAGACATACCCCCGAAATCCTGCGCATTTTCGAGAAAAAAATTCAGTACGGGCGGAACTTTAAACATTAATAACTTTGTAACAAAGCCTCCATTAACAAATTGGTATTCTTGATTTTCGTCTTATTTTGGCCTCTAGAAACCCTCACTAGAATTTTTCCCAGGGGTGGCGGAACACTCTGTATATTACGTTTTAGTATCTTTACAGATGTACAATACACGAACGTTTCAAACTTACAAGGTATAGTTAAAACTCTTGGAACCTTAATTATCTTAAATATTTTACCAACGTCACTGAAATTAGAAATACTACAAAACAACAAGTATTTATCACACCATAATTTGACAAAGTACCGAGAATATCCCTAGACAGTGAAAAACGGTGGGGTAGTAAATGTGTGTCTAGTAAAAACATGAATTTTATAAAACGTGCTGCTCCTCTGCACCAAGAATTCGTTTCAATTTTTTTTCGATTACGAAACTTTCGTTATGGGTCGGAAAATAAAAATGCAGTAAAGTAAGTTTTGTACATACCCTTCTGAAATTGGCCAGGTTTTTTTCGATCGAGCGTACAGCGCGCCGTGTTACGAGAACGTTTCGATTTTCGAGGAGGATACGAGGTTAGGAATCGCAAACGCGAGAGACACAACGGCGAGCCTTTCGTCCTCAACGGTTTTCTCGCGTGCACTGCTCGATTCGTAAGAGCAGCTCGAGTGTGTTTGCAAAGTTCAAACGCCTCGGCGAGTAGACCGTAACGCTCCGCTCTTCTTTCGTCAATGTCACGTCGGGTAACCGACATTTTGTTCTTTTGCCCATATTTATGAATATTCGTTCAAATTCCGTTCGTTCTGCTAAAACAGCCGCCAACATGGGAACTTTGATTAATTAATATCAATAAACATCTTTATTGCACGCATGAACAACAGTGTACATATACACGGTGTCTTTTTTATCTTACATAACCTAATATCTTCATTATTTTCACCGACACGAAGTTATTAACGCAGGGTCCACCTAATCTGCACACTTCGAATAGCTTCTTTCATTATCTTTATCTTTTATAATTTTCGACTGTTTATCAAATAATTTATTTAATTGCTCAGGCCAAGTACTGCTCTAAACAAAAAAATTCGTGACTGAAAGGATTAGAGCGTATATGAGTTTAGTACAAAAAAAGACATATTATTATTATTATTATCAGAATTATTATTACATAGCAGAGCGGCGTGCTCTTTATTTTTGCTCGGTCGGCTATTTCAGCTTTTCATTCGGCCGGCCCCGCGAGCGAAACAAAAATAAAAGGCGAACGTGCTGCTAGGCAGACACGGGTATCCATAAAAGAATGAATAAACGTAGATTGAAAACGGCCTAAAAAAGTCGCGTGCATCGTATGTATCGCCGAGCGAGCACGTAGACCGACGACCGCATTTCCACATTCGCACGTACGCGTTGCGTCGCGAGGCAAAAATTGAAATCCGCGCGCGCAATGTAAATTCGTTCTAACGAACGGCAATAATTGAATTTCGCTTATCGTGTCGCGTTTGGCCGGAACGCCTCGCTGCTTAATGAAAACAAAACGCCTTCTCTCCTTCCCCCCCCCGATACACACGATTGGCTTTCTTCGCCTCTCGACCTTTTCCTCCGTCGTCCCCACCTACCCTCGTGCCCACCTAACCTTCCTTACTCCTCCAGTCTTCGTTCGCGCTCGGTTCGCACGCGTGCACGGAAAGCGAAATGGACCGCGAGAATCGTGCGAAAAGGCGAATTAAGAGGGAAAATCACCGTTACCGAGGAGACTACGTTTGCTTTCTCTTTCACGCTAGCAGATAAGCTCCTTCGCGGAGAAAGTTTGCCGCGCGGTCTGAACGCAAACACGATCGCAAGTGTATCGTGAAACCGGACGACGAAGGCGAGTTCAATTCGGTTCCCCCGAGACAGCTTCTAAAAGTAACGGAGGAAAATGATCTCTTCAAGTTTTGGGTATTTTTTCTTTCTACAAACTACCATAGCTGTGATTTTAAGAAGCAGCATAAAAAACAACGTAAAAGGAGGCTGCTTTCAAATCTAACCTCAAAGTTACCGATCGGTCGCTTAATCGACGTCTTTATTACGGAAATAAAGAAAGTCTATGTAATAATATATTCAATAGATATTTACGCAAAGGCGAGTTCAATTCGGTTCCCCCGAGACAGCTTCTAAAAGTAACGGAGGAAAATGATCTCTTCAAGTTTTGGGTATTTTTTCTTTCTACAAACTACCATAGCTGTGATTTTAAGAAGCAGCATAAAAAACAACGTAAAAGGAGGCTGCTTTCAAATCTAACCTCAAAGTTACCGATCGGTCGCTTAATCGACGTCTTTATTACGGAAATAAAGAAAGTCTATGTAATAATATATTCAATAGATATTACGCAAAGGCGAGTTACAGCTGCCTTTACGTTTAACCTTAAAGTTATTGATTGACTGTCTGATTGATAATGTCTGTATTACGCAAATAAAGAACGTGTACCATATAATGTATCGAATAGAACGATATTATGCCAAGGCGAGTTACAACAGCTTTTAAATCTAACTTTAAAATTATCGTTTCGCTGCTGGATCGATAACATCTTTATTACGCAAGTGAAAAAAACGTGCACTTGAAGTATCGAATAGAATGGTTTCCCGATGGCGAATTACAGTTGTTTTTAAACCTGATTACTGATTATCCATCGACTACCCGATAATCTCTTTACTAGGAAAACAAAGATTAAAAATTAAGTAATAATAATTGATCGTGTTATCGAAATGAACTTTTAAATATAAATTATGCATGAACGAATAATACTGCAATTTTCAAAACATATATATATATATACAATTTACAGATTCATAAGTAGTGCATAAATCATTCATCAAGCTTTCAATCGATTCTCCTGATAGTCCAAGTCCTGATATAGTTAAACATTGAAATAGTATTCTAATAATCAAATATCTGTAAAATATTTAAATAGTATTCAAATTTTATTCGACCGAATAATTGAACCACCGAAATGTTCAGTGTATTTGATATGTCCCCGGCCCTAGTTACGATTCCATTTGAATCTAACCTCAAAAATAATTTGATCGACTGTACGATCGATAACGTTTTTAGAACGCAAATAAATAAAGTTTGCATACAATATATGTATATCGAACAGAACGATATTGCGCAAAGACGGGTTGCAAACTGCTTATAAATCTAACCTCAAAGTTATTGATCGACTACATGATTGATAACATTTTTATTACGCGAATAAAAAACGTGTACATATAATATGTCGAATAGAATAATATTGCGCAAAGGCGAGGTACAGCTGCTTTTGAATCTAACCTCAAACTTATCGATCGACTGCATGATTGATAATGCCTGCATTACACAAATAAAGAACGTGTACATATAATATATCGAATAGATTAATGTTGCGTAAAGGCGAGGTGCAGGTTAGGTTTAAACCTAAGCTGATAGTTATTGCGCAAACCATCGAGCGTAAAACAAAACGGAAACAAATGTCTGGTGAAATTGTTCGAAGGCAGCGTTTAAAACGGTACGAATTATCGAAAGAAAATTATTTTAATAACGAAAGGACGAATACAAATACGAAACCTGGAATTTAGTTGTATGACGATATGGTGTATTAATAGATAATTGTGAACGGGTGGGATCGGCATTAGCGGAATAGTACGAAAGGTTAACACGGATCAGATTGACAAGGTAAGAAGGAGAACGAGTGTGAAGGGTCTTGCAGATTGATCGATAGATAATGTCTCTATTACGCAAATAAGAAAAGCAAGCATACAGATGTGCGCTGGTTATTAAATTCAACACAACGTTTTTTCGTTAGTTTCTTGTGCAAACGTGAAAATGTTCTTCCGATTGAATTGTTTCATCAGACAATTATCAATATTGTTCTATTGGTCGTTTAAAGTGTTTATTTGCATCTCTTTTTGTTTCCGTCGTATTTCTATTTTAAGCCC